GAGAAAATTATGACTGACCTCAATGTGCTACCTTTGCTACTTTTTCAGTGAACTATATACCTTTGAACTTACTATAAATAAACAGATTCTCTGCATGAAACTTAGTTTTCTTAGAACGTTTGGGTCCCCACCCCCACTCTATACAACAGGGAACATAATGCGATTGTAGTTACTACTTCCTGCCTCTATTGGTCTACATGCCAGTGTGTCTACAGTGATGCTTGGCTCTCCCTTCTTAGCCATTCCTTTTTTTTTTTTTTTTTTTTAGCCATTCCTTTTTTATTTCTATTGGCACTCTATAACTAGTTTGAACTTTAAAGCCAAACAGATAATATTCTTAGTCATTAATTTTCCATGAAGACATGTGAGAAACACTTGAAGGGACTCATTGCAGATCAGGGAGAAATGCTGGTTTGCTACCTTTCCAACTGGCACCCTGCTGCCTTTGAGACATGCTTTATGGCCAGCAGTCCTGGACTCCTCTGCAGCTATTTCTTTTAATTTTCCTTTTTTCTAAAAGAACAGCATATCTCCATCGGTGTTCCGAACTTCAAAACAAATGGATTTTAGTAGATAATAATCTTATACTCAAGCAGCACATAATGTTACAAAGGATTATAATAATCTTGAGAAACAGTCTGCTCATAGGGACTGCTATCTACTAGTGAAATCAGCTTAAGAAAGCAATGAGTCACTGGTGTGATCATAAACAGCCACACTAACTGGCAGTTTAACAAAGGAAGAACAACGTATTATTCCTCAAAGGGAATTTAGATAGATCAGATCTTAGAATTAGAGTAAGTCAGCCACAACTAAAATTGGGCTCACAGTGAAACAAAATACAGTAAGATTATTTGAAGACTTGAAGGTTTCCTGACTGCTGTTTTGTACAGAGCAGTGATTACATTTTAAGTATTTAATAACATGAACAAACAAATGAAAGAATGAAGGCAAAACTAAGTATACTGCCAAAACAGAGCATGGGAAACTGTCTGATGAATTTGAGCAGGTAGTCAATCTGAACTTTACATCTACTCTGCCTGAATTTAATATCTAGCAATCATTTTTTTTCCTCATCTGGGTATATTTACACCTAACTCAGTGGGATGTCAGTTAACACCTCAGTGCAATTCTCTCACAGTACAGTTTTAGTCTGCGAGGCCTGTTCCTTGAGAAAGTATTTATTTCTTCCATGTACTTTGTCTGTACTTGGACCAGGGTGGGAGAGATGGTTTGGTTATGAACTCATTTTATGAACACAAAAGGATGGTTAACTTAGATATTATTCCACTCAATTATGTTTTTAAAAAGATAAGCATAATATCCTTAATTGTAATATGCTAGTCACTACATATAAAGAGGATATACATTTCAAAATAAGAACTATAAATAGGTCTAGGTCATTAAGTATTGTCAATGTAACCCTAGTTTTAACATGCAGCATTGAATGAAACACTACTCTGCTTGAAAACCAAGTGCCCTGGAAGGCACCTAGGTCCATAATTAAATAACTCTGCAGCTGGTGCTACGAATATTTTGCATTATGGAATTAATGACCTTGTTCACTCTGCTGGCAAAGAAATTCCACACAAGCTCCCTCCTTCTCAGAGTATTCCTTTCCCTATTGCATGACCTGCGTAAGCCAGAAGAGAGAAAAATGTAAATATACACTTGGTTTGCAAGAGTTATACTTCATTTTTTTTTTAATTACATGGAAGAAACACTGTCCTTCTTAACGAAAGCTTGATGCTAACAAAGCCAGACCTCACGAGGGTCCTGATAGGCCCTTGTTAGCCTGCTGAGAAGCATCACATAGGATTAGAGATGGCATCGCTAATATTAACTTTAAAATTAAGTAATGTCATTTAAATATGTACTTATAGTGACAGTATGTTGTTATTGTTATATATAAATCATTCTTATTCCTTCTATAAGGTAGCTTTGCTCACAGCAGCATAGTCTAACTCAAATCAAGTTATGGACTTCCCCAGGTTGAAAGACTCCTTGGTTTGCACCAGGAGACAGACATCTTAATAGCAAGCTCTCTTTACCTGGAGGCTTTTTACACTTCGAAATGAAATAAAAACAAAACAAAAAAAACTACTAACAGATTTTGAATCAGAATGGAATAGAAAGAGGCGGGTATCATCAAAGTATTTCATCTCTACTTGAACTGCCTTCATTTAAATATGTTAGATTTAATTATATTGAAGTATACAATTAAAGCTTATACTTTCGCTATAAAGTTATGCAACCTAAAACAGGAAATATAAAGAGATTGCTAAATACTGCTACTTTCAACAAGCATTTAGCTACACAAGGCATTGTTCTAAAAGCTGAAGAGGTACAAAGAGAAATGTGAACGATTCTCTTCAATTGCATTTTGCTTTAAACTGAGTCTTACTCCTTTTAAGTGTGGGGAATATTCAACCCACTTTATTCCTGTTGTACCAGTATAATTACTAATAACCCCAATGTCACTGACAAAAGTGTTGCTTTGGATAATAAAGCATATGGTCATTCTACTTACAAGCAATAGTTAGTCAACTTAACATAAGCTTTCTAAAACAATAAATATTTCCTTGGAGAGCCAAAACTATCCGAAGTCAACATATTTTTCTGATAATTTCATGATTCTTCATTTTACTTTTCTCTAAATGTCTCTTTAATTGGTCGCTTAATATTCTGATCAGAAATTAGCACTAGGTTCCATTTTCTTATTCACTAACTGTTTTCAAGTAAAACAGTCTTGCCCAGCTGGTGTAACTCAGTAGTTGGGCATCAACCCATGCACTAAGAGGTCACTGGTTCAATTCCTAGTCAGGACACAAGCCCAGTTGTGGGCTTGATCCCCAGTAGGGGGCTCGCAGGAGGCAGCTGATCAATGTTTCTCTCTGATCCACGTTTCTCTCTCCCCCT